TATATATATATTATATATATATATATATATATATATATATATATATATATATATATATAGTATATACTTAATTTTGCTAAAAAAATTTATTACATTTTGCTAAGAAAAAAAGAAAGAAAATAGTTTGTTTTCATGAATGGACAACTTCTACAAGGCCCCATATAAATTAAAGAGGGAGTTTTCAATATGGCCACTGAACTGTAGCCTTTTCGGCTCATCATTTCGGCTGTATAACTACACTAATTCATTTTAGTTAGAACAAAATATTGATTTATGTGCCTCCCTAAGTTTCTTGCTTCAGTGGAAAGCTTGGAGCTACTCAGTACCCATCGACAGGACTTCAGAGAAGATGTATTACCAGCAGACAAAATCTCTCCAGAAAATCTGTTCATTCCTGGTACAACAGGAAATGTGCCAAGGTCAAGGAACGCAAAAAAAAAAAAAACATCAAAATGTATAATTTTGGATAAAAGATTATTCCAAATACATATGTGGTAAGTCACTTTCAATGTAAAGCTAACCTTTTTAAAAGCTCTTATTGTGTTTCCCCTCACGCACTGGACATAATAATGTAATAATAAATAAACTCCTCATAATAAACTTGACGACTCAAAATGGGTCTCAGACCCAACGATTTTGCATGTAATCCATCACCATCATATGCCAACAAGCCCTTCTATTGAGTTTGTCATCTCTTTAATTAACATGAATGATTGGAGCATCCCTCGCACTCCCCCAAAAACATACCGCATGGGGAGTCAAACCACATGGGATCACCTCCAGACAGCTTCAATTAACTGGCTTTATTTAATTACATATGTATTTGGTAATAAATTCTAATTAAATCTGTGGCTCTTGTTATTCTTCCTCACATGGATACTCAAGCATCTATCAACTCTGCTGACATACGCTATGCCCCATAAATAGTGATTACTGAAGGACGACAGATATTCAGTCGTGAATTGTACAGACAATTCTCTCCAAAGGGGAAATAAAAACTTTCTTAATCTGTCTCGTATAACAAGAAAACTTCTGAGCTCTTTTAACTCCCAGAAACTTTTCAAATTTGGTGCATGCTACCACTGACAAAACATCTGAACGCTATTGTTATCTATTATACATTGACTTTTTGGTCTCTAACTTCAATGTGACGTTAGACTTAAAAGTATGAACAGGTCTGCCCAAAATAACTTGAATTAATTATTCATTTTTACCACAGAAAATAAAAAGTCATGAATCTAGAGCTGTCTTTAAAACGTACTGGTGAAAGTGATGTTGAAGCCGCGTTCTGTGTACGTATGATCAGTCAGAAACTCCAGCCTGGCCACGTGGCCGCTGGTAGTGATGGGTGATGGCAGCACATCTCCAGAAAAGGTGCCCAGAATTGGTGACTCTGCCTTGCCGCCATCTTTAATGGATAGGAAATCAAACTGTTTCTCCATGCTCAGGTCGTTAAAGGCCATGTTGATGCGGCTCTCGGGTTTGGCGATAATCAGCCACACACAGTGCATATTGTTTCCGTACTCCTGAGGGTAGTTTGGTGATAGCAGGACTCCAGATGGAGTTGTGAAGTTGAAGAAACACGAAACTGAGAAAAGGACAAAGAGATAAAACAAGCAACAGTTAAACACAGGAGGCGTTGTGCGTCAAACTGTGAGGCGAACTTGAGATTAAAACTGCCACTGAAGCTAAAATCAATTCACAATGCATAGGGAGGTCATTTGTTGTTGCTTAAACAATACAGCAAGACAGGAGAGGAAAAATTACAGCTTGGAGGATGTGCACAGTGTGATAGCAGCATCTGTAACTACAACTTGTAAGACCTCTCAGACCTTGACAACAGACATTTTATGAAATGGTCACTTTCTTGCTCATATACACTCTTAAAAATAAAGGTTACAAAAGGGGGTTTTCACAGTGATGCCATAGAAGAACCATTTTTGGTTCTTCAAAGAGCCTTTCAGTCAATAGTTCTTAAAAGAAGGACATATTAATGATCTAAATACAATTTTTCCACTATAAAGAACATTTTGTGCAACAGAATGTTCTATGGATGTTAATGATTCTTCATGGAACCATGGATGCCATTAAAGAACCTCTATTTTTAAGAGTGTACGTCTCGTTTTTTTGTTACTAGTTTCTCCTAAGGATGATTTGTGAAATTTGACGATAACATACTCCCAGAATTATGTGCCAGGACAACCAGAAGCAATTTGTGAGCTGATTCCCTGAGAAGTGTAAACACTGTGGCTTTATAGAAACATTTATCTATCAAAACATTTATTAATTTGTTGAACCAGACACAGCAACACTGGCTCAACAAATGGTGTGACTTTGGGGCAGGACTAATTGAAGACTGAACTTGAATCCCCTCCTTTTATACTTTTTTTCTTACTCGTGTATCCCTCAAAGCGCATCAAGTGGGTGGCTAAAATAATAGTGAATAAAAATATTAGGTGTATGACGCCCCTGTGTACAAGTACGCTATGATCTCGCCTATTGTAGAACATAATCAGACTGAAGATGCTGCAGAGAAAGAGAATGTTTATCTGCGGGGAATATCCTCAGGCATTAACTCATTTTCAGGATTTGGGACAAAGCTGAGAGGGCAATAAGCATCACTAAATAGTCATGGGGAGAATGAAAATGAGCTCAGTGGTGGACTGAAGACGAATCGTTATGATTCCACCTCATATGAATGACTTTGCTGTCTGAGCTAATAATAATGTCATAAAATAGCAGAAAACAAAGTTGTGAGTCAACTGCAATTCCACTGATGTAATAGGATGGTAGCCATTATAGTGAAAAATGACCATAGTCTGGGGCAAATTGACGGTATACATGAATCCAAATGATAGAGAAAGAGCAATAATATCAAAACAAGTTGGACAAGCATTAACTGCCAAAAAACATTGTATGTTATGACACTCAATTCAAACATTTAAATGCCACAAAAACCTTTCTCTACTTAGCGGTAGCAAACAAGAAAATCAACTGACTGCATTTTTACAAATATGTCTCTTTATATTTTCCTGCTTCTCAAATACGCAGTTTTTCAATTCAGTTAAAATTTGTCAACTTCATTATAAGACCCTGATAAAGTAAATAAAGCAACTAAATATGAACATTAACATTAAATGAACTGTCGCTGTGGCTTTAACTTGAGTTATAGTTAATGATTTAATGGCTCAGCTGATGAGAGGAAGTATCGGTGGGGCCATACTGTGCTAAAGACAATAATAATGGTGCACTATATCCTCCCAGGTGTGATCATGTGGGTGTGGAAAGTAATGCATTTTGGGTAAGATCTGTCACTTACACACACAGCTTGGCTTCTTGGCTGACCACTGATTATTTTTCTGGCAGGTGATGTTCTTTTTTCCTACCAGCTCAAAGGCTGGAAGGCACTCAAAATATAGCTTGTCTCCATGTCGGAAGCCTGTGCCTTCCCTCTTGCCATAGGCTGGGATTCCAGGGTCTCCGCATCCACCCTGGTTAATTTCTGAAAAATAAAAATAAGCATGAGACATTTTTGCAAAAAATTGTTTCCATCAGGGTTTTAATGGGAAAGAAGGGTCAAATATATTTTAAAATAATACATTAATTTGATGGCAAAGCTGAATTTTCAGTAGCCATTACTCCAGTCATCAGTGTAACATCCTTTAGAAATTATTCTATGCTGATTTGCAGCTCAAGAAACATTTCTTATTATCAATGTTAAAAACAGTTATGCTGCTTAATATTTTTTGGAAACAGTGATATATATATATATATATATATATATATATATATATATATATATATCTCTGTTTACAAAAAATATTAATAATATTTTTTGGAAACAGTGATATATATATATATATATATATATATATATATATATATATATCACTGTTTCCAAAAAATATTAAGTGAATCATCTGTGTGTCACCATTTCTATATCACATCTGCTGGAATCAAAAGAGTTTTCCATAATAACACACACCTACACATAGTATATAAGCCTTATACTCTTTTGCGTCTTTCCAACTCACTCCATCTGACAGCAAAGCATATTCATGCAAACTACCTCCATTGCTGCCCCAATGGCATCTGTGAATGGCTTGCTCTCCTAATGAATTGTCTTTTTTCACTCTGTTCCCTTATACCCTCACCTGTCTCAATATGTCAGGGCTCATTTAGAATCACAAGGCCAAAGCTAAAGAAAGAGGCCACTACTGAGAGAGAGATAGAGAGAGAGCGCGCTACAGGGAAGAAGAAAGTGAGATACCTAGACAGAACTTTTTTCACATTTTCTGTTCTGATTATATACATAGTTTTGTCATGAAACTCTAGATGGTGCAGACTGATAGGTTCTAACTCAGTCTGATATAATCACACCATTATTCACATGGCGAGTGGTTCTAGTTGCATCAGCAGCCAATGAACCTGCTGCTCAACATTCAAATACTTGGCTAGTGCTTGCTGTAGCAGTTGCAGCGCACTTCAGAAACCCTCCACCTTCCCCAGCTCCACCTGTATAGATCTGCTACTGCATATTTTCATGTATGCTTTATATGTGGGGTTATTGTACATGTTATATGTGCAGCAGCAGTATTTCTTAAATGCTCACAGCAGCATGTCTGTGGATGTATTGGCAGTAGCAAGTCTGTACTTGCTCTGCTGCAGCAGCAGCAGCATAGCAGATCTACTCCGTCAAGACCAAACACATTAATATAGCCATGTATATTGCCATGCTAAACTCTCTGAGAGTTGTCATGAGAGAACTATGGAATTCTTCAGATGTAATGTAGACATTGTACAATAAGTTAAATGGAGCTAACAGTACTATACTTTTATTGGTACACTATTAAAAATAAAACTTATTTATTAGCATCTATGGTTCCATGAAGAAACTTTGGTATTTGTGGAACTTACAAACATACATATATACATAGATACATACATATATTCTTCTATGGCAACATTTAATTATTTATTTTGCTAGCCCAAACATCTCACTAATTGTACTGACCTCTTGATAGAGTTTGGACTTAGCATGTTACTAAGTTATAATGCTCTAACATGAACAAAAATGCATAGTGTTCACACACATATTTGATTTAAAAAGGTGTTTCTCTAATGCCTAGGTCACTTAAACACATCAGATGATGTATAAACATTTAGATGTGCCTTGATGCCAACCTCCACATACTGCCAGAGAAGGCAACATTTTTCCAGTTCTGGACAGGTGACAGGCCTCTACCTGGACTGAATCTCTATCCTTTATCTTGGGATTTACATCTTGAGTTTACTTCTGACCATATCAATCAGTTAAGGCAAGAGGATTGTGAGAGAAAATGTCTCCTGAGCTGACAAATATTACGCAGCAAGTCATCCCTGTGGGAGTGTATGTATGCGTGATTCCTTAAGTGCCCCAGCTAATACTTTGTTACAGCTGTCTTCGGCTTGGTGACAAACAAACTGTCTCTGAGAGCCGACATGTGCACTTTCATAAGGGGCGACATTTGTTATTTACCCATTTCAAATTTCCTATGATTTATTCATGTCACTTTGATTTTTTTTTTTTTACTCTGAGAACACAGATGGAAGTCATTGATTTTCTAATGAAGGATTGCTAATAATACAGGAAGGCACAAGTACTAATAAATCCATTCATCTTTACCCATCGTACGAGTTAAGAATTCTTTTTTTCCCCCCAGCATGCACCTGGGGTCGGCAATAGGCTACACTTCTTCTGTATTCAGCCCTATTGCAGTATGTATAACAATTCAAATCCTCAAAATGCGCTCTACAAGCAGAAGCAGCAGTAATACAGATCTGCATGTGCACATATAAAATATTAAGCAGCCTATCTGTTTTCAACATTGATAATAATGTTTCTTGAGCACCAAATCAGCATATTAGAATGATTTCTGCAGGACCATCTGACACTTAAGGCTGCTGAAATTAGGTTTGCCATCACAGGAATACATTACAGTTTTCAAAAGCATTCAAATAGAAATCGGTTCTTACAAATTGTAAAAATATTTAACAATATTGCTGTTTTTTACTGTATATTAAGCACAACATTAAAGAGGGTTAACTGACGTCAGGAAGACAACAGTAAATATTATGAAAACATTGACATGAACAGTTCCCTCAGCGCACTACCATTCGACTTCTCTTTGGAGCTCCAGTTATGAGTTATATAAATGCAGAAGATGCGTAGGAAAACAAAAAATGAGTGAGAAAATAATAATTTTAAAGCGACATTTTAAATGTGAATCCTCTAGTGAAGAGCCCCTGGCAAGCCCGCTTTCTGTGTCTCGTTTTTCTTTTTCTTTTATGGCTGAGATCAGATCGTAAATAAAAAAATCATAATAACGTGTTTGTCATCAGTTATGATGCCCTGTTCTTAATGGAGTGTCAAATATGCTCGGACGTCCATTAGCCTCAGAGCAATGCAACATGCTGACATGTGGTATGATTAACCAGCAAATCTTGACATCATCTAACTTCTTCGCAGACTGTTGCATTGAAGATGAGGAAAACTCCCTAAAGCCCTGCACAGGCCTCAAATCTAGGCCCTAGCCCGCCCGGGACGCTTAAGCCCCCGCTTAATTCTCGTCCTGAGTCCGACTGGAGCCTGTGACTGTTTTTTTTTTTTTCTCCTCCCCATTACACAGCCTACTGTTGCAGCCATTAAAATAGTTCATGTTTTTAATGGCAAAGTAGTTATATTTATTTTAGTTTAGTTAGCTTGCGTGTGAGCTATGACATGAAAATTGGCCCGAAGCCCGGCCCTAGGGGTGTAAATAAGTCGGCCCCCGTCGTGCTCGGGCTGAAATGCGGGGCTCTAAAACTCCCTGCTATCGTAAGCAATTTTGGATTGGAATGTACATATAGGCAATATAAAGACAATGGACATACAACAGTGATCTTTTCTATTTGGTGGATTTTCTCAGCAAATATTGATATAAGTGATTAGTTTTGATTTATTAAATGAATTTATCGCTATATCATGTACTTATGTATTGATCTAGCTTAAAACCAACATTGTCTGCAGTGACTTTCTGATCAATAAAATCTGAAAATCTGAAAAATCTGAGATGCAATAATTTAGGAGTGCATCTTGTCCCGCAGACAGGGAGGCAGAAGTTCAAAGAGAATCCTCAACTTAATTAAGTGTCTCTCATTGTTTTAATTATGTTGGGGGGTATGTACACTGCTCCACTTTCTTCTTATGTTTTTGCAGTGGATAAAATGCATAAAAACTCAGGGCCTAGAGGCTTATTGTGTATCTGACAGCAAATATTGGTTTGTAATTTATGAAATGTGCCAAAGTCCCCCATGTGCGGTGCAATTCTGAAAAAGGGCCAGGATGAAAGCTCTGGTGTTTTCATTTCAAATCAGACATAGACTCTGAAAACTGAAAATTAGTAGCCACTCTTGCATGATATCCTCCCTGCCCCATGGCCCTCATTCCAGCAAGGTTAAACGATCACAGGCTGCTTTGATGACCCTCACCACATGTGCAAAACTTATAATGGTGAAGCGAGAAATAGAAAATGAGGCTGTTCCTGTACACTCGGTAGATAGCAGGCAAATAGCAGGAAGCTACAAGAAAATTCAGAAATTTGCTCAGAGGAAATCATAAGGTGCGAGATTTGACTAGCTATGTGTATAACATCAATGTGAACGTCTGCCAATGACCTTATTATAAAATGTCTGCTTCACTCTAAAAATTACATGCAATCAAGAATAATTTAAGCAAAGAATAAATAAGCATTCAAAGGCTTTTCATGGCCAGCCATCTGATTCATCTGAGACATAAGTGGTTATGGTGATACAGAAATAGAGGAGGGACAAAGAACAATGCATTTGTTGATTTCAGTGATAGATCATCAATGCAATGACAACTACGGTAAGAGTCTTCAACTGAGAATAGTCTATGACATGATAATTACCAAATGTAGGAATGTTAATCTTTTTTTTTGCATTATATTAAATGTGATATACTATATCACATTAAATCATTCTTTATCACATTTATCAATACTTTTATTAAATTAAGATTTTTTTCTTTTACATAGGAAACGTTGTATGACACAAATACATAAAAATAAAAAAATAAATAAAAAAAACATTTATTATTATTATTAGTAGTAGTAGTAGTAGTGGTTTTGTTGTTGTTGTTAAATATAAACAAATATCATTATTAACCATCTTTTTTATTATTATTTATTTATTTATTGTAATTAGCAATCTTTTTTATTATTATTTATTTTCTCTCTATACTAAATGTCAAAATATCTTCTTCTGTGTTCAACAGAAGAAAGAAACTCATAGAGGTTTGGAACAACTTGAGGGTAAGTAGGATGACAATTTTCATGTTTGGGTGAACAATCCCTTAAGATCACTCTGAACCCAAATGCAAAGAATTTCCTTTATTTACCTTCGTAAGAAACCTTAAAGCCCAGGGAGCCACTTGTGTCATCCGTTTTAAAATTGAGCCACATCTGATGGCTGGTACTGACCACCAGATCTGGAGTTGTAGTCCCAGACAACCTTAAATCAAAATAAGACAGACAAACACTATAAAACATGACAATAAAACAGTCATTCTTCACTTTCAATATGCGCTCTATCATTTGGCACCTCTCAGGGAACATAGGGAGTTCCTTCATTCCCCCGGCACTAGCCTTCAGGGACCTGCGGAATTGGTCCATAAGGGCTTATGAGACCTGCTAATTAAGCACATTAGACCATCAGGGGACTCTGAGTAACCAGAGAGAATGTGCCCAGGGACACCAGCCATTCAAAAGGAACACAAGCACTTGTACACCTCTGCCAGATAGCGCACATAAAACGGCATCGATAAAACTTTATGAAGACCATAAATTTCAGCACAATTAATAACAACACACTCAGCAACGTTTCCGGAGCATCTGGTGCGCAAATCTGCATTGTGCGGCATCAACGTGTGACGTGGTTTTGGAGCAGGAGTGTTCTTGTTCTAACATTGAGACTCATAGTGATTGACAATAAAGCTTGGGGTATTTCTGCAGTACACTTCTGCTCAGAGGGCTGATGAAATGAGATGAAATAGAGGGGGGTTAAAGGAAGAAACGGCAGAGGAGGAGAGAACGTAGGGGGCTGAAGAAAGAGAGGACGCTGAGAGATGAAAGAAGATAGGGAGGAGGTTTATGCACACAGAGCGGAGATTTTAAGAGTGGGAGACACAGCCTGGGAGGAGTTTGAGAGAGGACAGAGAAGAAAACAAAAGAGGAACAAAAGTACTCACACATGAAAGACTGTCCGCTGATCGCCGATTACAGCTCCATCTCCCACAGTTAGAGTATCGTAGCCCCGCTCTAAGTCAAACTCCTCAAAAGTCAGCTTGATCACCTACACACAGAGAAGAATCAGAGTCAGCTTTCTGAACTTGGTTAGAAAAACAGCGAAGCAGTACTTTTTTTTTCTTCTTAAAATCATTTGGTTCATCATATTCCCCCTTCGTTTGAATAAATAAATAAATTATTGTGGACAAGTAACCTAATTATAACACCAGACATTTCATGATATTTTGATATCAGTACTTTTCAGATTGCACATACTAAAAGAGGAGAAAAACTCCTGTAGATGAAAGCAAATAAATAATTTATGCATTTGAGTCAAAGGTGCATGTTACTCATTCTTCTCCAAGATGAAAACAAGTCTGCAGAATGTTTTATACAAAAGGAGAAAAGTAAGAGTTATGGAAAGATGAACAATTAAATATAAAGGTTTATTGCTGATAAACACTAAAAAGAAATACTGTGAAAAAAGTATGAATACAAATTAACAAAAAAGTGCTGTCTATTCTCCCTTTTCAAATTGGCTGCCACATTTCCAACAAATTCTTAATGTTTTTGGAGTGCTCAGAGACCAACTCCTAATGAAAAAGCTTATATAAATGCAAATTGCATTTGTCCTATGGTAAACACACTCTGCAACAAAGAGTGCCAGGGGTGGACTGGCCACATTCTAGGTCACACCGGCAGTGAACAAGATTTCATCCTCATTTACCTCCTCTGAACCTTTCTTTTCTCAATCCACCCGCTCACCTCGAGTGAATCCCACTGTGTCCTGTGCGGTGTGTATGACGATGAGCGACAGCACTTTGGGCGGGGCGACACTCAGTTGACTCACTGAGTGATTATGATGCAAAGGCTGATCCCAGCAAGTCAATACTCTGAGGCAGAGCATGAAACGTGACCATCACGCCAGGGCCGTTTCTAGGCATAGGCGAGCTAGGCAGTCGCCTAGGGCGCCGCCAGCTGAAGGGGCGCCAATGAGCGCACGTACTGGCACTTTTAGCAGGGTTGTGATAAAGAGTGGCACGGTCACCCTGAAATATGACTGCCGCCCCCACTGGATCGCCCAACATTATTGGGCTAGAGTACTGTCAATCTGACGATGCCTGTATGCCACTAGATCAGAGTGCTGTCAATTGCTGCTATATATATATAATATATATTATAGGGGCAATAGGGATTTCGCCTAGGGCGTCAAATTGGCTAGAAACGGCCCTGCATCACGCCACACTAAGACCTTCTTTATATAAAGTCACACAACAGAACTCAGAGAACAAATAAGGCATTACAGAAAGTGATTTGATAATGTTTAGTCATCAAATGATTGCATAGAGGATCAAGATCTGTCTCTTAATCTAGCAAACTTTGCATAATTATCATAATGTGATTATATTACATGCATACAGCTGCCTGTGATTGAGGATTTTTTTTTTTTGTCCCAAAACAAAAGCAAATATTCTACATGATAAGTAAAATTTAATTAATGCAAGAGCAAACTTAAGTATTTATACAAATATTTGTCATACATGTTGATCATTTGACAGTATATAAAAGCAGATTAATTATTTGGTTAAAAAATTACACATTAATTATTAAAAGCAGCATTTTTGTTTTTAAATGTGGAAGGAAAAAGTATTGCAAATAATATATTACATTTGTAAATATTATTACTATTAAAATGTAGATTTGTTTCTCCCCTATAGCTAAGTAAAAAGAGTTTCAATATCCCAGTGACCGGAAATTCATTCACAGAACATATGAGAGAGCCTGAAAATAAAATAAAAAATATAAAATAAAATAAAATAACCACTATGACTGTTAGAAGGAGGGAAATATTGGCACAAGTGTTCATTTTGTCAGACATTTTTAATTTATTCTTAGTATTTTAAATTATTCTTAGTCTTGGTCATGTGCCAAATGTACATTTTAGTTATTACATATTTAGTCAACCTCGTCCTGTTTTTGTTTTAGTCACGTTTTAGTCGACTAAATGTCTGGGCATTTTAGTCAATTAAATTTTAGTCATATTTCATCATGCTGTATAATGGTTAAATTGATAAAAAATATTTTTGCTCAAAATTATAACCGTAATGATTGTTGTCATTTGATAAATTTATTTTTGCATTTCAGGTATTGCACTTTCACCAATAAGCACAAATCAATAGAATGTGGACACACACGCATGGTTTATTTTACCTCATCTATAGTACTAATTTATTATAGTCTATTTATTATATAAATAAATATCAAAACTTATGCACTCTCTCTGCCTATATAATGAAAACTGGTAAAACAAACAAAAAAATATTATTTGAATTTGAATACAGTGAAATTCCTAATAATTTCAATAATTCCAAATGACATTAATGTTTCTCTATTAAATCAACGGCGGTTGAGTAAATGTGTTCAATTCAGCAACCACAATTGCAAACAATATGAATGACACTTTCATTTAAGCTGAACACCTCACACGGAGATCGCTAAACTCCAGCTTACTTGTTTGTCGGCGTTTTCAGATCATCATCAGCGCTTCCACAATGAAGAGCGAGCGTGTGCGCATGGTTACTAGATTGCAAAAAATAAGCAACACACCGAGCAGAAAATGTAGCCTTTTAACAGACAAGCTCTGATTTGGGGATTTAAATTCTTGATATCTGGCAACCGCACACATGAAAGCACACATAGAGGCGTGTACAGCAGTTCACAATAATTCACAGTTATCATTTATTAACCTTGTCATCTCATCATCGTCTTGTTTCAGTCATGGGAAAAAAAATTTTCGTCATAGTTTTCGTTAACGAAATTAACATTGACAAACCAAATAACAGCACAGAATATATAAATTAATTAATAAATAGTAATAAATCACTCCCAATGCTCTCAGACAAAAGCCATTGTGAATGCGGTTTCGCAGCTGAGAGCGATAATGCTCATAGACTACATAGCAGGGAGCGGGACGTGCTAGAGGAACGAGGCTTTTTGTCAAAATAGAAGTCCCTGCAGAAGTGAAGTAGCAGATAATACCAGTCCGCTGAACGATGATAGCGCACAGAACAAAAGAAGGGCTGATAATTAAAATAGAAGAGAACAACAAAAGCAATCAGCCATGTCTTCTCATGAGCAACTCATTCTCTATTATTATGCCTTCTGGGGATCCTCCATCTAAGGCAGAAACGCAGTGTCTAGACTCTGAGCTAATGTTTGTCTGTGAGCGGGGGATTCAGCCCGGTGCAGTTCCACATGCTGCCTTCCCTGCAGAGTTCTATCTCTTTCTCTCATTCATTAGCTTCAATTTCAGCCATTTTCCAGCACCCGTCATTAGGCACCACGGTTGACGTAAATAGAATGGACATCTATGAGTAGCAAGTTCATCTTTAACTGTAGCTCCGGGGAATCTTTTACTGAGGCATTACAGACTCTGCTCCTTCTGAACTTCAGTATGTTACTTGTTTTAGTTGATTAAACATATCACACTGTTAACCAAATGTCATTACATTTCCCTTGCACTTCATATAAGCACTTCAGTCGTTTATTAAATTTGTCCACCATATGTCAACTTATTTATTGTGTTTAACGACATTTTGGGATAGAAATAAGATTTTTAACATGTTTGGAATAAAATGACAGGGCCTGTGGTTTAAACCACATGTACGTTTTAAAGGCCCATACAAATTATGCAACAGTATGTGCATAATTGTACATAATTTTATATCTACACAAGAATATCTCGGTCACTACCATCAAAAGTCTGGTGTGAGCAATAGGGGTGCTCCGATTGATCGGCTACCGATCACTATCGGCCGATAATCCTGTTGGGATGATTGATCGGCGTTCTCTAAAAAGGCCGATCTAAAAAAAAACAATCTCAAGCTGATGACGCTGACGTGAGAGGTTTGGCACGACATGCAGCGGCACCGTCTCAGTCTCTGTCCGGAGCGGGTGAAATAATTATAATGCTGAAGGTAAGGTACTCACCTTCATATTTCTTCATTAAATAACTTATAAAGTAATTTGAAAACCTTGTGTGAGACGTAATTTCACAAACAGCGTGAGTGAATCACCGCGCGCGTGCTCTATTTCTCTCTCAAAATACGCAAATGGCTTCAAATCACCACACATCGCATCTGTCTATAAGCGAGTTGCACGCTGCACAGTTGACACAGGAATTATCACTTGCACAATTGAGGCAGTGTTGTCATTAAAGTTTATAAATTGCATTTCTTTTTAATTCTTGCCAGTGTTTAACCATTCAGCGCTCTCGCGCTTTCCTGGAGACCCTACGCTCATGCACACTCGCAGCGCACACACATAACGGCAGGGTCACATTACTCCGTTTGCAGTGCGTATGCGGTGCGTATTTTTTCTGCGCTCTTGTTAACGGATCAGAGCATTCACACTGCACACAGTTGCGGTCCGTCAGTGCATTCCAGGAGCGGTGCGTCTGCAGCAGTGCAGCGATCGTTTCCGCACCGAGTCTATTGCTGCGCTGCAAGCAAAGAATTAAAGTAACATCGCATTGTTTGCAGTAAATATGAACATGGATTGACACGAAAATGTAGCAGCACTCGTGGAGGTAGGAAAACAAAGTTCTTTGTGAACGGCAGAATTGCTTGTAATAAAGATATCAATGCAAAAGAAAAGGCAGTAGAGCTGACTATTTCTGTCAATGGTAAGTTTGTGATAACGTAAGAAAAGTAGTTTAAATGTTTTGCCACTTGCTGAAGCAACTTAACATATAAATCTAGAAGTAGGCTAAATGCAAAAGTAAAAAGTTTTGAATAATGTGTTGCTTATATTTATTGTGTTTAGACATGTCTGTGAAAGATGATCGGTGTTCGGCCTCAAAAATCCTGATCGGAGCACCCCTAGTGAGCAAGATGTTTTTTTTTTTTTTTAAAGTGACAGTAAATACATTTATAATGTTAAAAAAATAATTCAGTTTTAAATAAATGCTTTTCTTTTGACCTCCTATCATCAAAGAATCCTACAAAAATGCATCACAGTTTTCACAAAAAAATAAGCAGCACAACTTTTTAGCATTTATAATAATAAGACATGTTTCTTGAGCAGCAAATCAGCATATTAGAATGATTTGTCAAGGATCATGTGAAACAGAAGACTAAAAAAATCAGAGTTTTTTTTGTAATATATTGAAAATTGAAAACAGTTATTTTGAATTGTAATAATATTTCACAATATTACCGTTTTAACTATTTTTGATCAAATAAATGCCGTTTTGGTGCACATAAGATACTTCTTTCAAAAACAAAATCTTACCAGCCCCAAACTTTTGAACAATAGAATATGTACATAAGTACATCATTTCAGCACCAAGTGAAACCATTCCTACATCCCCTTGGTCAATATGTATTCATCTAATACCCAAAAAACTAAACATGAGTAAAGGTTTTGGTAAGAAGGTTTGGTGTCTGTAAAGAATCACAACAGTTTTCCTACAGTCACCTTATTTATAGCAACATAGTATTCTTATAGCATTTAACATTGTTCAGACAAACTGCTAAATCCTCTGTTAAACAGCTAAGTGCATGTGGTCACATCTCAACCCAACTTCACTGAATGACACAGAAGCTGATATGTCAGACAACTCCATCAAACAAACCAGCGCTTAGATATATACAGTAGTTGCTTCCACCACAATTTAAAGCAAAAAATAAATACTTCACCTTTAAATATGCATTATGCATCAACAAACGCTAAATTATGTCAAATTCTAGCTAACTGTGATGCTAAAGGCTTTAACAGCTGCTGGGGTCTCTCCACGCTGGGAGAGTCTTTGGCTCAGGCAGCAAACCAGCTGTGGCGAAATCAAAAGCTCATTGTCAGGTACATTTCATACGGCCCCAGTTCTGGCTCAGTCTCACAGCTAACATCACGTCTTTTCCTGGTACTATTGTGTCAGAACAAAAATAGAATGTCATTACGGTTGTAAAGAGCAAAAACAGCAATGTTCACACACAATCTTCATCTGTGCCCTGCTCTCCAGCCGTGACAGTGTGAAGCAGAGCTGTCATTTACTCACAGAATGAAATAGCGCACTGGGTGGCAGAAAAAAAAAGCAGGGGGCACTGATAGAGCCGCTTCACCCCGTTCCATTTGCCCTCCATCTCTCGTTCCCCTTCTCTCCCAACTGAGTCATGGTGATGAGGGGAGAGATTTGTAAAGCCATTTATTTGAACCTAGATAAAGAAAATCTGGCAAGCGAGTAAGAAAATGACCTTGAACTCGACGCCAAAGTCATGACACAGAGCGCCACAGTTTTTGTCTCAACCGTGGTGGCTGCTCAAATGTAGTTTTCTTTATCTTCCATTCTCCTTTAATATAACCATCAATGCTTCATTTTTTTATGAGTGTGTAGATAACTGGATATTGCACATCATCTCTCGATATCTGTGTATCCTTTTCCCTGCAACCTGCAGTTATTAGCAGGCCCACATGGAAACTGTGCCCACAGAAGACTCCTTAAATTTCCTTAACAGAGTTTACAAAGTTTTCCCTGTGTGTTTGTTTATTAAATATTCCGGCTAATTTGAAAATGCCTTCAGTTTCCAATAAGATTAGCTCTATGTGTACTATTATTCACTACTATTCGGGGTCAGTAAGATTTTTTTTTTTTAACACTTTAAAATTAATACTTTTATTCAGAAAGCACACATTAAAATGTTCAAAATTGACAGTAAAAATGCTTATAATATTTTAAAAAAAAAAAACATTGCAAATAAATTAATCAAAGAATCCTGAAAAACATGCATCAGGGTTTGCACACAAATATATATATATATATATATATAGAGAGAGAGAGAGAGAGAGAGAGAGAGAGAGAGCAGCACAACTGAATTTAACTGTTAATAATAAGCAATTACTGAGCATTAAATCATCATATTAGAATGATTTCTGAAGGATCATGTGACAATGAAATTCAGCTTTGCCATCACAGAAGTAAATTACATTTTAAAAATATTCAAATAGAAAAGAGTTAAAGTATTATAATAATATTTCACAACATCGCTGTTTTTACTGAATTACTTGATCAAATAAATGCAGGCTTGGGAAGCTTAAGAGTCTTCTTTCAAAAAATGTACTGACCCCAATCTTTTGAATGGTAATGTGCATTTTACCATATTTAAATCTGATTTTCCCATTAAATCAGAACACAAAAGGCAAAAGTCGTCTATGGGTTTTGCCTCGGCCTAATTATTATTTCACTTCAAATGACATGTTCTGATACTCAAGTGTGAAGCTATGTTTCAGCAGCGTGCAGAGAAGCATTTACCTTGGAAGGGTCCGAAGCTGTGATGATCCAGGTGCAGTTAGCATTGTTGTCATATTGTACTGGAAAGTTTGGGGAGGTGATGATGCCACTAGGGCCACGGAGCTGACCACCACACATAGGAGCTGAAAGAAGAGAGAGACAGTATGTTAAAGAGCAAATCATGCAGTTTGACTCTTCAGAGAGTGAAACAACATCTCATCTATGAAAGATTTGAGGTATTGGGGGGGGTGGAATAGAAATGTTATCACATATAAATAATTTATCAATAGAGTTTATTTTTTATTTTTTTGCTAAATGTGTTCATTCAAATCTATAATTCAACTGAATGAATTAAGAATTAACAACAAGACTACAAGGCTGTTTCACACTGATTTTCAGCTCCATCTATTGAAATCTATTAAATATCAAAAATATTGTCTTTATTGTCAGATACAACATGTCGACAAAATATTAAATAATTATTTTCTATTTAATCACACATCCATTGTCTGCAGTAGCAGAATAGAACAAACTTAAAACAAGGGAAACTATCTATAAATCGCAAACAATTTATTTAATATTTTCTGTGACAAAGCCGACACATCATAAATAGAACCCGACCGATATATCGTTTTGCCGATATTATCGGCCGATATGAGCCTGGCGCCGATATATCGGTATCGGCCGATATGCCGCCGATATGCCGCTGATATGAACATTTTTTTTTTACAGAACATAAACGCAGATAAAATGCTTGAAATGGTGTAATTACTTAGTTTGTCCAGCAGAGCACGCTCCATTGTGCTGTTTTTACTGAATTACTTGATCAAATAAATGCAGGCTTGGGAAGCTTAAGAGTCTTCTTTCAAAAAATGTACTGACCCCAATCTTTTGAATGGTAATGTGCATTTTACCATATTTAAATCTGATTTTCCCATTAAATCAGAACACAAAAGGCAAAAGTCGTCTATGGGTTTTGCCTCGGCCTAATTATTATTTCACTTCAAATGACATGTTCTGATACTCAAGTGTGAAGCTATGTTTCAGCAGCGTGCAGAGAAGCATTTACCTTGGAAGGGTCCGAAGCTGTGATGATCCAGGTGCAGTTAGCATTGTTGTCATATTGTACTGGAAAGTTTGGGGAGGTGATGATGCCACTAGGGCCACGGAGCTGACCACCACACATAGGAGCTGAAAGAAGAGAGAGACAGTATGTTAAAGAGCAAATCATGCAGTTTGACTCTTCAGAGAGTGAAACAACATCTCATCTATGAAAGATTTGAGGTATTGGGGGGGTGGAATAGAAATGTTATCACATATAAATAATTTATCAATAGAGTTTATTTTTTATTTTTTTGCTAAATGTGTTCATTTGTGTTCTCTTGCTGCCAGGTACAAAAAAAAATAAATAAAATACATATATATATATATATATATATATATATATATATGTAACATGACAAATACTTATAATAGAACGCAAATCGAGTGTACGTCTCGAGGCCCTCTTTCGAATGAGACCACCCCCGTGTCGATAGTGATAGGGTTCGGGAGTTACGGGCGGTTAAATTCGCGGTCCGGCGCCGACCGATCTAGATAGTGACACCAGCCAACACTTTCACTTCAGTAAGGAAGTGAAAATATTTTTAAATTGTTGTTTTGTAATTGATTTTTTTTTAGCAAGACAAAACAGTAAAAATCACATTTTGGCTTTTTAATTTATGCAATGGTGAAAAAAATAAATTGGCAAAATACATGGGGAAAGAAACTCGAAAAACCGTGTTCGGTATTCGGTATTCGGCCCAGTGTTTAATTTTGTTCGGCTTCGGCTTCGGCCAAGAATTTTCATTTTGGTGCATCCTTATTTATATTGTATTTATTTACAGAGGTATATTATGTCACACTTCTCTAGTAAGTTTCGTCTGTGTGTGAAGACAGTAGCGCAAATCCGTGAATGAATGTTCCGAAGTGAAAAACGTCAACGGAATAAAGTTGAATGGAATTGAATTGAATTAATGTTGAATAAACTTCAACTTTACTGTTCAATGCACTGATGTCAGACTCATTTTGGATAATAAAGTTTATTGTTAAATTGTTAAATGCCCTGCCCCCATTACATATCTCTGTCACGTCATTCAAATGTTTGGACACACGGATGGGAAAGTGTCCAAACTTTTGACTGGTATTGTACTATAATATAGACAAAAAATATCGGCCGATATATCGATATCTGCCTTTTTTTACTCCCTAATATCGGTATCGGCCCCAAAAAACCCATATCGGTCGGGCTCTAATCATAAAGAATGGTTTTGTAGGTTTTTGTGTAAATAACACCACTAACTTACATCAAAGGAATTTATTTATTTAATAAAATATCTGAAATGCCTTATCAAATATCTCAAGAAACAGTGAAGTGCATTTCAATACCACAACATCAGTCTGAAGAGTAAACCTAAAAAGAAAAGCAAGAGGACTGCAAACACTTAAGTCCAACAGACAGACTCACAAGAACTGTTTTTCTAGATATCACTCATACTATACCCTATCCATACCACTTTCAAAGGTTGAGATTGGCTTGTGGGCCTGCAGACGAAATATAACAAAATCTTAAATAATAATAATAAAAAAAAAAGCCTTAGCCTTCGGCTGCAGTCAATATTTCGCACTTGATTATTGTTACCTATCACGGGTTGTTGGTTTTGATTGGACCGGCGTGTGACCTGAATGTTCAATGACCTTACCAATGACTTGTTGGGTGCTTGACTTTTCTGTGACTTTTTAAATCGACACTCTCACAGCCTCCAGGAGGACTTTAAATACTTCCTTGAATGAAAGCACTTGATGTCTAATGAGAAGGGAGGGCACAGCCAGCGTGTTCGCACTAAATGAATGTTTCTGCAGGTCTGGGACCAGCTGGAGCTTTTAATGAGCTAATGTCTGAGGTGAGCTCCTCAGGGCCTCCCCTGCCACATACACACACTCGCAAAGTTTCCTCAAACACTTTAAGGTGGGCTGACATTAAAGAACAAATGTCTTTGGAAAGTTAATTAACATCAGGGCTGGCTGACCCCAATTTTCACCTTCACGACATAGTGTGTGTTGTCTGCAGCTTTCTGCTTTAAAGGTTTGGGGTTTGCTAATAACACACATTCATTGATACCGTAGCATTTTTGTCAATCATAATACTTATTGGGGTATAAAAAATTCTCATCCTAACTAACATTCTGGGCATGTATGATTATAATATGACGAAAGAAAGAAAGAAAGAAAGAAAGAAAGAAAACGAATATTTATGGTTATAAAATACATAAAAAAGAAATACAACAAAATTAACCATTATATACGATTCTGCAGAAATTCATATTTAAGTATCACACAGAAACCTCCTAGCACTGTTCTGAAATGCTTGTAAAAAATTAAAAGGTAATATAAAGGTAAATAAAGAAGTTTAGGGACCAGTACTCACTATTAACTAATTGCTTATTAGCATTACATGCATGACCATATTCTACATCCCTTAACCCTTAAATGCATACCTTTATGTCTTTAGCGACCCGGGACATCATTCTCTACCCTCTCTCTCCTTAATTTTTTTAAGTTAGACATCAAATTTCTTAGTATTCCTCAATCTATTAATTATAAACAATATAACAAGAAAAAAATAGTAAAATATAAAAAAAATGCCAGTTTTCTGATTTTTTTTTTTTTGTAAAAAGTGTATAGGGTCACTAGAGACCCGAGGTATGTAAATGTGTATTAAAAAAAGTATTTTTTTCCTGCGCAACTATATTTACATATCTGATGACTCAATATGTGCAATGCATCTTTTTTCCTCAAGGTGGCACTGTTTGATACACAATGATGACGTGACGTTTCACTCATAATTACAGCAGGCATAAAACAAACGAATATCATCAGCAAAAATTTAAGTGGTTTGAATGGCTTTACTGCAGAGCAATTACTATACGCAATGAAATATAAATGTCACTGTCATTTGATGCTGGATGTGGGTGAATAAGCTGCCAGTGATCAAAATATTGGATATGAAGTAATTGAAAACGATAGTTTTGACAATATGGTTGAGATCGTGAATATGAGGCAGATGCTGAATGTACTGTGGAAGTGCGCTCTGACGATGACAGCGATGGTAAAATCATCTGCTCAAATTGAACCCTTTTAAGTTTCAAAAGGTAACGAAATATGCTTTATTTTATTCTTCTGTAATTGTGCTTTTGAGATTGAGAGTTTTTTGCTATTGCCAACAGTTAGAGATCCATCTGTGCTGTATATATAGGTCCGGGTCGCTAAAGACCCGAATATGTAATAATGATTGGCGAAACATTCATGCAATTAAGGGTTAATCCTACCCAATACCTAAACTTACCAACTACCTTACTAGCTATTAATATGCAGTAATTAGGAGTTGATTGAGGCAAAACTCGTAGTTAATTGTTAGTTAATAGTGAGAATTGGACCTTAAAATAAAGTGTGATCAATAAAAATAACCATTAGATAACATTGTGTAGAAGTTCTTATTTGGTGGTGACACATACTTTACTGCAACGTTCTGGAAATTTTAATATTTAAAAATAAAACAAAACCATTAAATCACATTCTAAGACGTTATTAGATTGTCATAAAAAAAAATAAAATCTGTCAAAGTTCATATTTAGTTGTCACACAGAAGCCTACCTGCAAAGTTATGGAAATGTTAGTTTATGGCCAATGAATGAATGAATGAATGAATGAATGAAATTCTGTACATTTCTGTACATTTCTATTAAGTTTCTATGTGGTCGTCACCTACACTTAACTGCAACATTCTGGAAATTTAAGTTTATTGCTTATAAAATAAAACAAAAATAACCATTAGATCACATTTCAAGGCGTTATTAGATTTACACACACACAATCTGGAGTTCTGGAAATGTTAGTTAAAGGGGTGGTTGATTGCAATTTCACTTTTTTAACGTTAGTTAGTGTGTAATGTTGCTGTTTGAGCATAAGCAGTCATGACAAAGAAACATTATCTAAAGTTTCACAGTGAAGTTCAAAATAAAGTTCATTTTCATCTGCAAAACCAGCAGATTCAACTGTGAGATTCAGATCAACTAAAAGATGGAGTTCCTCCCCAAAGAACAATGTCCAAAAGTTTTATTCTTGTATATCATTTTGCTTACTTAGGGCTTTCATATTATGTTCAATTGTTTCCTGTTATGTCCAATATGTTTAATACGCAGGATTGTACACTCTAAAAAAATGCTGGGTTAAAACAACCCAATTTGGGTTATTTTGGCAAACCAACGCTGGGTCAAATATGGACAAACCCAGCGTTGGGTTATTTTAACCCAGCCGGTTGGGTTAAAGGGGTGGTTGATTGCGATTTCACTTTTTTAACGTTAGTGTGTAATGTTTCTGTTTGAGCATAAACAATATCTGCAAAGTTGCAGAGCTGAAAGTTCAATGCAAACGGAGATATCGTCTTTTAAAATTCTGGCAGTTTAATCCCTACAAAAACGGCTGGTAAGGGACTACAACGAGCTTCTTCCCAGGTCTGTTACGTCACGAACCCAGATAAACCCCGCCCCCGGGAACACACAACACAGGGGGCGAGGCCATGCTGCACTGCTTTAGAGAAGAGGAAGTGAAAACTAGGGGTGCACGTAAAAATCTGTTCATATATGAATCGCGATAGCGGGATGTTCAGACGCGCTCTAGAGGTGGTTTAGCGAATCACAACACACCAGCTGAGCCAGCTGAACAATCTCAGCCAATGGCGTATTTCTGAGGGAGGGGCTTCATAAAAACAGGAAATAATCGAGGCGTTTGTTAGAGAAGGGACAGATCGGTGTGGAATAAAGGTAAATTATGTGAAAAATAATGCGTTTTTTTAAAAACGAAGCATAAACACATGTTAGACTGCACCCCATAAACACAACCAAGCCTAGAAAAAAAACAGTCAACCACCCCTTTAATGGTTATAAAATTTTTTTTTTTAAAAAACATTAGTTAACATTCTGTATAAGTTCTTAGGCTGTCATGTAAAATAAGCTCCCTGCAATGTTCTAGAAATTTTTGTTTATGGTTATAAAACCTACAACGAATATTCTGAGATTGGTCGGAAGGAACTTGGTCTCAAGGATGTTAGGAGAATGTTGAAGGCACTGCAGGGACTATAACTCAAACTCTAAAATTAACCAACATACTCTCCAACATAATAATCATGCTATTAGAAGAAGGTATCTGTTAGCAGGGGCTCAGCTGTGAAACAGTCCAAGTTTATTTAAGTTGTAAGGGCAGAGCTGCAATAAGATACTCATTTAAAGTTCACCTTATTCAGGCTGAATTTTTATCAAATTAGATTCAGGCTAACAGTTCAAAGACCCTGGATTTCTCAATGCACATTTCAGGTTTCAGATGCAAAATCTATGGTAGAGTTAATGAAATACTGAGAAGTTTACTTAAAAAAAGAAAAAAGAAAAAAAAAAGACAGGGATTCATTCCAAAGAGTTACTTTAAACCACTGGACCAACAATCAGCATTAAATGGCCGTTAAGACTTCAATTTTCTACAAACAAAACTCACTGCTCATGATATATTGTGTATTTCAGGTTCTATTAAGGTTTGAAGCTTGATTTGATTTCTAAATAGCCAATAAAAAGACACAAATGTATTTATAGATTTCTTGTGCAAGTCCTAGATCCTTTACAATCCTGCAAATCACGGAAACAACATTTCTACACATAGAGAGAGAAAACCTCAAGGACACATTATTATTATTGGACTTTTAATGCTTGTATTTATTTATTTAGCGACAATGATTTATGAGTGCTTTTTCTGTGGCACCATTACTAATTATTCTTATGATTCAGATTTTCCTGGAGCATGCAATTAAAATGGACCGGTTTTGAATAATGGCCTGGCATTTAGAGTGTTAAATCAATGAAACAAGACAAATAATCATTCTCTACATTAGTGGTGAAAAGGAGCAAGTGATGAAGAAACGGGTTCTGGGGAGCAATAGCTAAATATCAACCCTTTTCACATGAGTAATGGGGCTGATAAGGGAACTTGGTCTATCTGGTGATTCCGACAGTTTCCCAATTCCAGTTCCATTTTCCCTCTTTCCACAACCCCACAGTGATATGCCAAAACTGATCGTTAAATAATCAAAAACAAAGGCAACTGGTGCAATCCATCACAAAGTTGTCTAACTAACTTCCTCCCGAAGTTTGTCAAGCCTGAGGGGTCCACGGTGGCAAAGGCCACTGGTGGTGTTGGAGAGGAGATATGTAACTCTAATGAAAGACTAATAGTCCACAGCTGGCCGAGCAACTCAGGAGAAATTAATCGATATGAAGGAGAAGGGAGCAGGTAAACCCAACCCTTTATGCGTGTCAGCGTGATGATGTAGAGCTACAGTAAGCCTGAATGTTCCGAATAGTATATTAAAATGGAATGTTATTACTCAAATATGACATCTTAACTAAAAAACGCTTTATCATAACACAAGTACTTCTTATCTCTGTTTGGGTAAGACGTAAGCACACACTAACAAAACACAGATACTGTGAATATTGTTAAGTCTGTTTTTGTTCATTTAAGCCATTTTGTTTTAAATAAAATAACATTTATAATAATCATTATACAGATGCCCACACCACTGTTTGGAGTCAGTAAGATATATATATATATATATATATATATCTTTATTTATACACAGTGGGTACGGAAAGTATTCAGACCCCCTTAAA